TGGATTAATAACAAATACGTTGTGTTGTCACTTTTTTAGATTCCAAAATTTGTGTGGCACTTAAATATTTAGGCTATGACAAGTTAACTCATTATGAACTAGACTAACATAGTTGTAATGATGCATTACTTAGTCATTAATTATAATTTTCAGAGTTCATCAATCTTATGGCATATTTTCACAATAGCTATGTTTGAAACTTACTCCTACAAACCATGATTAGAAAGTAAATCAGTAGTGCTGGGCGATATATCGATGTTTTATCGATATAAACGATATATAACGGTATCGATACATATCGGTATCGAAATTTTAACTTCGAGTGTATCGATACGTTTGGCCACGCCCCCTTTATTAAAGCCGCACCCCTTATTAACATTATATAGTATTAATAATGTAAATTTTAATAAAAATAAAATCAATTTTTAAAATAAAACGTTACTGCTGAGTAAAGCTGTTAGTGGTAGCAAATTGCAACTAAATTTAGCTAGTGATAGCACATGTTATAGAATTATCTAGAACCTTTCTACTTTTTGTATATAAAGAGCCCATCAAATAGCATGCAGTCAGTAAATAGTGAGTACTATATAGCATACTGCAGAGCTAGAGACAGTAATTCTTTTAACTCAAGCTGTGTTATGGCCAGTAGCAATCCTGCCAATCCTAACCCTGCTACTAAACCAACTAACAAGAGAAGTCTCATTTGGACACATTTCAGAGAATGTGCTGAAAAACAAGCATCTTGTGATCTCTGTGGAATGAAAGTGCCTACAGCAGGAAACACAACCAACATGACAAAGGTATAATGATTGTAATGGTCATAATAGTAAATATAATTCTATAGCACCTGAATAAGTATCATCCAAATGAATATAAAGAAATTCATGAGCAACAGACTGCAGCCAAAAAATCAGTGGAGGATGCAAAGAAACAGAAGACTAAAGGCTTGCAAACACTGGAGCAAAGTATAGAGAGAACACAGGGATATGCAAGTAAGCTATACAGCTGTACAGGGTGGCTAACTGGGTCAAGTACAGCACTTATTTTTACATTTCTCTCTTACCATTATAGAGGAATCATCTAGACGAATTAATATAGATAAAGCATTGGTGAACATGCTTGTCACAGATCTGCAGCCTGCTAAGATTGTAGAGGACGAAGGATTTAAGAGGTTCATCAGTGTCCTTGATCCTCGATACAGTCTTCCAAGTCGTCGTACAATAATGCGACAGAGTCTGCCAGAGCTATACGAGACAAAGAAGAGAGATCTTCTTGAAGCACTAGGCAGGATTGATTACTGCTCTCTGACAACTGATTTATGGACATCAAGAGCAAATATGGGATATATAACAGTTACCTGTCATTTCATCACATCAGATTGGTCCCTTAAATCAGCTGTTTTATCGACAAAACATGTTGATGAGTCCCACACAGCAATCAATCTTGCTGCGATCCTCAAAGCCATCACAGATGAATGGAATATAACTGACAAAGTCTGCTGTGTAACAACTGATAATGCTGCAAACATTACAAATGCAATCAACCACAATTCATGGAAAAACTAC